CTCCGAAGTTGGACTCATGCCCAAGATGAAACGGGCATTTCCACTCTGAATTGCGACACTGAGGCGCTAGAACAATAAGGTTTTTGCTCTCCGGTCTTTTGTAACACTGATCAATTTGTCGCCTAATTCCTTCAGTTTACAATGTGAATGTTGTTGAATAAATATGTTTCTTTCAATAGGCCCGTGGGCCTCCACCAAACTGAGATTTATCCCTCAAGATAAGGTTGAAGAAACGAATTACATGTACATACATACATACATATACAGAGGACCACTTGCTTTGCGAACCCCTCGGGGACGAGATCCGTCAGTTACCATGTAAGTTTGTAAACGAGAAATGTAAACGACAGGTTTAAAAATTAAATGCAACAGTACAGTATTTTGTTTGTACTCACCAAGAAGAGAAGTGCTGACCCACTTGTTATGTTGATGATCATTGTTGATGGAGCATAGTTATTTACATGGAAGAGGTGGTGGTGGGTGTTGATGGTGTTGGGTTGACTTAAGTGGAGATTAATTGTGATAAGGTAACCTCAGATGTTGTCACATTTGGGTCAACATGTGATAAGCCAGGTACAGGTGGTGCAATGCCAGCTTTCTTGGAAGCTTCCCTTCCACCCTCACTGCTGCTCTCCCTCCCACCCTCACTGCTGCTCTCCCTTCCACCCTCACTGCTGCTCTCCCTCCCACCCTCACTGCTGCTCTCCCTTCCACCCTCACTGCTGCTCTCCCTCCCACCCTCACTGCTGCTCTCCCTTCCACCCTCACTGCTGCTCTCCCTCCCACCCTCACTGCTGCTCTCCCTTCCACCCTCACTGCTGCTCTCCCTTCCACCCTCACTGCTGCTCTCCCTCCCACCCTCACTGCTGCTCTCCCTTCCACCCTCACTGCTGCTCTCCCTCCCACCCTCACTGCTGCTCTCCCTTCCACCCTCACTGCTGCTCTCCCTCCCACCCTCACTGCTGCTCTCCCTCCCACCCTCACTGCTGCTCTCCCTTCCACCCTCACTGCTGCTCTCCCTCCCACCCTCACTGCTGCTCTCCCTCCCACCCTCACTGCTGCTCTCCCTCCCACCCTCACTGCTGCTCTCCCTTCCACCCTCACTGCTGCTCTCCCTTCCACCCTCACTGCTGCTCTCCCTCCCACCCTCACTGCTGCTCTCCCTCCCACCCTCACTGTTGCTCTCCCTCCCACCCTCACTGCTGCTCTCCCTCCCACCCTCACTGCTGCTCTCCCTCCCACCCTCACTGCTGCTCTCCCTTCCACCCTCACTGCTGCTCTCCCTCCCACCCTCACTGCTGCTCTCCCTCCCACCCTCACTGCTGCTCTCCCTACCATCCTAGCACTGTACAGGGGTACCTCGGTTTAAGAGTTTAATCCGTTCCTGGAGACAGCTCATATTCCGAAAACTCGTATTCCAAAGCTAATTTCCCCCATAAGAAATAATGGGAAATGAATTAATCCGTTCCTGACTACCACAAAAACCCCACATCAAACTAAATTTGTATACCTAATTCATCTAAATAAACCTACAAAACTATGTTCAAGTTATTACTTACCTTGCTGATGACTGCTGTTGGTGTATGGAAGATGTGAGGAGGAGGAAGAGAGGTGTTACTGTTTGGAAGGGGAGTCCCCTTCCATTATAACATCAGGCAGTGAGGTCTTCACTGGTGTGCACACACTGGCACGTTTTGCCTGCATACCACTAAGACTTACTTGTCTTACTAAGACTCTGTCTAAAGACTTGTTTTTCCCTACATTTTAACACTTGTCTGTAGTAAGACATCACATTGTCATTTAAAAGGTCAATGCAATGGCCTGCTACAGCTTTATCTGGGCGAGTTTTTTCAACAAAACTTTGCAATTCTTCCCATACTTCACACATTTTCTTAACACTTTAGCGTTATCACGGCGCTCAAGAGCATTACCACTTTTTGTGTTGAGGTCGCACAGCGGACTTGCTCACGAGTCACGAGAAAAAATATTTATATAAACTCTGCTATGAGATCGACTTTGGGATAGTTTGAAAATGTCCGCCATGAAATTTCCGTTTTCTCTAATAGCCGCATAGCGTATTTGGGAGAACGGCGTAGCATTGCACCATCGAGGTAAGACCATTGTATTGTTGACACGACAAGTGTAATCGACGTAGTTTTTTATTTGGTGCCGATCTAACGCATCCTTGTGTGACATTTTATACTAATGTTCTTATAGAACATTATATTGTGAACACACTGGTACAAAAATGAAATACGTAAATCGAAAATTAATGTCAGGACAGTGAAAAGAGTAATTACCTAAGTGTAATTACCTAAGTGTAGTTACAGGATGAGAGCTACGCTCGTGGTGTCCCGTCTTCCCAGCACTAAAAAAAAAAGATATATGCACACCTGACGCTCAGAATATTGACAGCATTGTGCGCACAAGGAGGCGAGAATGATGACAGATTTGTGTACATTTGGCGCTGAGAATCCTGACAGGTTTGTGCACACCTGGCACTGAGAATACTGACAGGGTTGTGCACACCTGGCACTGAGAATACTGACAGGGTTGTGCACACCTGGCACTGAGAATACTAACAGGTACCAGCATGGGACCGTTGGATGACTCGTCCTGACACTCTCCTGAGCAGGTCAGACTGGAACCTGTTTAAGACTTGTTACTGGTGATGACTTAACCTCTACGACCCGGAGCCCCAGAAATAAAATTGGGTTGAACTAACCCCAAGCATCTGCACTCCAACCTTGAACAGACATTTTAATTTGTTGATATAATTTCCCCTGCCCGCTAGAGGCTCGAACACCCGACCTGCCGCTTGGGAAACGAGCGCTTCACCAACTGAGCTACGAGCTACCCCACTAGTATATACTTTTCAGTGTTGCCACTCGATCGCCCGAAATGCAGCACTATTTTCTTAGGTTAAACCTTACCACTGGCTTTCTTGGGACCCATGGCAAGATATATAATATCTTTTATGGTCAAATGTCCAAAAATCCAACAAAACACTGAAAATCTGGGTGAAGAATTTACGTGGGATAGTCACTGGGTGCGAGGCACTGGTAAACTGAGGGGTGAGAGGTGACGATCGCCGTACCACCACACGCTAGGTCGGCCTGTACGCCTATCAACAAACTCGTCTTCCGAGGTAACCCTCGCCTTCCGATACACATTTTCCGAGGAAATTCTGCTCGTATTCCGAAAAACTCGTATACAGGGACACTCGTATTCCGAGGTACCACTGTATATTCAAGGCATTTTCTTGTATCATGTGATGATGTCTGTTGATGTCATCTGCTTGTATCATGTGGCTCTATGCTGTGCTTTGATTTCATCACAACACCCACCAGAACTGCAGGAATCAAAACACAACATGGAGCCACATGATACAAGCCGACAACGCCAGCAGTCATGATGCAAGACAATGCCTCCAATATTCTACATACATATTTTGCTATGACCCACTACAAAACTGCTGTTATTACCACATTCCTATCACAAAAATCCTGAACATGAATCCATTTCCAAAAGGTTATATTGTGAAGGAACACAAGATCGTTTCATGATGCATAGATGCAGGAAACAATGGCTGGGTGCTGTGTCTCTACCTCATGCTGTGAATATCATTATCAACATTATGTTCACTGATATCTGAACATTGTACATAGTCTTATCGCAGTCAGGATTATCTATGACACTATCCATGCAAAATAATTTCAGTTGCCTATTTTAGTCATCATTATTAAGTGATGCCGTGGCCCCTAGCTGCACAACGGTGCTGTGGCCGCTAGCTGCACAACGGTGCAGTGGCCCCTTGCTGCACAACGGTGCTGTGGCCTCTAGCAGCACAGCGGTGCTGTGAGCTGCTCCTGCATGCACCAGCCTTGGTCACTCTCTCAGTACTGAGGCTCTTACAGTCAGTACGGGTGCTGACAATTTTTTTTCAAGATGGCGTCTGTTTACTGGAGTCCTGAGACACAGGATGTGAGCCCGGTGTGGCTGCAGAAGTTTTGAATTGCTCCATATACTGTACCTAAAAGCGCCATATGGTGCTCTGTGCTGTGCAGTAGGTAAGCATCTAAGCTTATATTATTTATATAACCAAAAATATCAAACCCTGTAGTGAATAAACTACTGATAAAACTACAGGGGTAGAAATATTTAAATAATGACTGAGCTGTTGATGTAGTTATGCTGATCATTACAATTTAAGAAGATTTCCCAAGCTGTTAATCTCTACACTATGATTAATCCACTGCTTCTAATATTTACATTAAATTCAACCCATCACTGCTAATCTCTACAAGATCAATCCAATACCGTACACTTAATATGTACACCAAGAACAAGAATGATCAATCCACTGCTAATAATCTCTCTAGCTTACACTGCAAGATTAGTCCCATGTTACTAATCTCAACCCTGGGAAATATATTTTAACTATTTACTGCTAGGATGAATATATTATTAATAAAGCATCCATAATATTATACAGGACTTCAATTACCAAGAACCAACCTGGTGGTTTATACCAATGTCCGTGTATTTCACCTATTTCACTCGTGTATTTCACACCTCATTTCAGGATGGGGATTGCACAAACATCATGGGACACCCAGACGTATGCCACAGATATGTCACATTACAGTGATTTCCTTGTGTAACACACGTCACACATTCTTACACAACTATTCATAGTGGTTCAGTGTAAATATACAGATGCACATAACCTCTTCCACCATGGAATACAATTTGTTTATCAATGACCAATTCCTCTTGTTATTTCTGGGACTTTGCAATCACTATCCTGCAATACACTCTGCTCGCTACACTTAGTAGACTAATTTTTCTATAAATTTTACATTCACAATGTTTTCCCTGACAAACAAAGCACTAGACTTCAAACTTAGTGTAAACATACTGTATTATTGAAATTATATTCATTGAAAAGATCTTCTATATCATATATAAGACATGCATTGGGTGCAGCAGACACTGACCTCTTTTGAGAGCAAAGTTAAGTACATCTTGTAATTCTTTCCAGTCAATCTCCAGGTCTTCTCCTGCCACCTTACTGAAGAACCCTCGAATCCTCTCATCTGCTTCAATCTCCTGTGATTCCTCGGGTCGCACCTTTGAAGATAATGAAAATTAGTACTATGAATAAGTTAACAAAAGCAATGCAATTGTGCCTTCCAAGTTCTGTATACAGGTAAAACCTCTAATATTTGCAAATCGTTATTTTTTGTTACAAGCACGTCGCTAACAGCCTAACAGTACAGGACTCTGTCCTGTACCCTTTACCATTTCTCCCATTCATCTATATAATATAATTAATATAATGCAAAGAAATTTTTAATAATTAACGTGTAAAAATGTAATACTTTTTGCTAAGACTTTTATTCACCGCATTTTAAGGAATTGATCTATTTAATTTTACTGATTATAAGGGTGAAAGGTAGTTCATCTAGTACCCAGTGTTTACGTTACTAAGGAAAGAAGCATTTATTTTTAAAAGACCATTCTAATTTAGTTAAAGTCCAGAAGCCTGGTAAACCTTTTTAAGATCCACAATCCACTAGTATTCCTTGAAATATTTGGTTTCTTTTTACTATGTTTGTAATTGTTTTATATTATTTCCTATTCCCTCTATTTAACATGACTGGACTAACACACATTTCCCAACTTGTCACTTGAAGCAAGTGGACTCTGTGAGGTAGCACAGATTCATCCCATCTTGGTCTACACTTGTGGCCACTAGCATACTTAAATAACAAAAGCCAAAGTTTGGGTCGTTGCTGTAGGGTGCTGGTTATACAAATGTTTTAAGGATAATGATAAATTCCTCCCCTTAAGTTTTTAAAAACACACTGACATTATTAATTGATTTTATATATATATTAAAATTTACTTTTAATATTTACTTTTATAATGCATATTAATTGATTTTATAGGAAATACAAAAATAGATCCTTAAAGCAAGCAAAAACATAAACAATCTATGTACCAGGACATGACATCACCATACAGTAGAAAGCAGTCATTTTACAGACATGAATTCATAAGAACACAGTAACATATTAAACTAAGTGCTGAGTGTAATAAAATTTCCCTTCCTGGTTACACCTGAGTAGTTCCCCCCTCATTATGACACTAGGTTATGCAGGACAACAGTGATAAAGCCAGGCTTCTGGTGATAACCTCACTTTCAAGCCCACAACTCCTTTAACTTGGTGGCTGAGGAACTTGTGTGGATCGAAGATAAACTTACAGTTGACATTAACAGCAGAGAAAGAAAAATACTTCACAAACTCAACTCTATGAAAATATGTTTGGAAATCATGAATCTGCAAACAATTCTCTGAACTAGCTAATTCTCCAATAAACTAAGTACCCCAACTTTGGCCAGGTGGTGGCCCGAGCTACTTCAGAGTCAGGGGTGAACCTTGCACTCGTGCCTGGTCATGTCGAGTGAGCGTATAGCGGCCATTTGCTTTTAATATTCAAAACAGTTCCCAATTTTCTTGTCTCTTGCCTTCCTTCTGCTTCTGGTTTTCATTGTTTGTTTTTATTTTATGGTTTTTATGATTTCCTTTCCTGATCCAGTAATAGCAATCAACTTCCAAAAGAGTTCTTTTCTCTAAAGATTTTAATTTCCCAAATGAGCTGGAATGTATAATTTAAATGTATAATTAAATAATTAATAATTCATTGTCAGGGGACAGGTGGCCAGTGTATATTCATTAATGTTGGGTTTTTAACGTGGCCCCCCCTCCCCCACCTCAGGGTCGAATTATTGACCCCACTCAGGATGCAACCCCATGACAAGCTGATTAACTCCTGAGTACCTACTTACTGCTAGGTGAACAGGTGGATTAGGTGATAGAAAATGCGCCCAACCATTTCTGTCCCACCTGGGCTTCAAATCCAGAATTCTCGACTGCGAGTCGAGAACGAACCTGACTGTACTACCGGGACCTACCGGTATGCACAACACACAAGCCTAGCCCTACAAACCAAGTCATGAGGCACTCTTCGAGGAGACCCAACTGGAAAGTAATTTGCCCCAAGGGAGGAATCAAAATTCTCAGAAGAGAACTTTGAAAGCTGATCTTCATGGCATCATCAGAGAAAGAGAACCCAAAACCAAAACAGAGGCTGAAGAAAGGCAGGAGGTGCACAATTAAATTGGCAACTACACCGTGAAACAGTAATAGCAAGTGACCCTTACATGAGGGCAATGACCCTTACATCACTAAGGGTCAGATGGCTAGTTCACTCAAATTTTTGGGTATCTTTTTGGGTTAGCTGAATGAAGATTTCCAGAAATATTTTCAGGGAGAGTTGAATTCTCTGCTGTTAACCTCAGAAGGAAGTTCATCTTTGATTCCCAGGAGCTACTAAGCCAATGACGATGGGGTAAATGAAGGTGTTACTTTTTGTAACACCTCTCCAGGAGCCTGGCATTATAAGCTGTTGTCGTATACATCATGGTGCAGTAAGATGATGGGTGCCAACCCAGAAATAAAATATTAATATAAAAAATAAAGAAACAAGTAGTAAAGTTTCTATCAAGTCCCACTTTGTTTCAAAACAATAAGATGCATTTTTGGATTTTTTTTTAGAATTTTTTTAAATAAACAAACATTTTATATACAGTACTAGTTAGGTTGATCAATTATGGATTTAAAGGACAATCTTCAAAAACCAAACCCATCATTAGAAATCTCAATTATCACTAAAAACTGATAAATTGGGATAAAGGTTCACACAACACAAGTTGACATACAAAAAATAATTTCAGATCTATCATTATTGGTAATGGACAAATTGGCAAAAGTAGAGTGACTTTGTGTCGACTTTGTTCACACTGCATGACGGGAGAGTGGAGAAACTTGCCCGTGTCCACACACATACACTGGTTATCTTGAAGTTATCTTGAGTTGATTTCGGGGCTTTAGTGTCCCCGCGGCCCGGTCCTCAACCAGGCCTCCACCCCCAGGAAGCAGCCCGTGACAGCTGACTAACTCCCAGGTACCTATTTACTGCTAGGTAACAGGGGCATAGAGTGAAAAAAACTCTACCCGTCGTTTCTCGCCGGTGCCCGGGATCGAACCCGGGACCACAGGATCACGTATCCAGCGTGCTGTCCGCTCAGCCGGCCAGCCCCATCACTTCGTCTCAATAAGATACTAACTTCGCTGCCGTACACACTGTACCACCTCTTGATGGGCTCCACAATTGCGCGGGTGTTCTACAATAACTGCTTAAGCAATGTGTGAAATTGTTCTTTCAGGGTAACTGATTACCAGACAGAATTATTCTCTAAGTGCTTTATATGCTCCTTTAAATTATCTTTGTCACCTCAAAGTGGAACTTATTTCCAGGAAAGATTCTGCTCTATAGGTCAATTTGCCCTCCAGGATGGAAGTCTAATAGGTGACATGACATAGTTACTGTAAATTTTTTCTCAATTCTCAATATGTAGCATGTGTAAGAACTGAGCTTCCCTACGAGGAAGACTCGACCAACCACAACACAGCAGCAATTCCTGGATCACATGTTTTGCACGCCAAACATTCCTATTTTATCTGAAACTTCAACTCTTTATCGTGTCACAAAGATATCACAATGGCATGATATACCAATGTAAACCATTTCGAGGCATTGGAGTGACTCAAACCTGTCTTCTGGTGAATGCCAGACACCTGCCCTAACTGACTCTGCCATGATGGTACAAAAGCCGACCAATTCCTTATCACGTATATAAATTCTAAAACGAGCACTGTCTTGTCTTTAAAGAAATACCCTTGTACCTTACATTCACAATATACTTTGGTGGTTTTGCCAGAATGTTCCAATTAATAACCAAATTTCTATAATAACACAACCTGTCGTACCTTCTTGTATATTCAGTACATAAATAAATAAAAAATAAATAAATAGATACAGACCTAGATTAATGTTGTCTGTGGATATTATCTAAGTTATGAAAACTGTTTATATTGTAAATTTTTCAAATATTTTCTCTCGATGCAAAATTCCTATTTTTTTCAGCTTACTGCAAATAATCAATTCTGATTCAACTGAGAACACAGTATATGATTGTTATAAAATATTTTTAATTAACAACATACAGTATATAAATAATCAATCAGAAATGGGAGTCACAATTGTGAGAAAACCATATTAGCTAGAGGCACACACAACAAAAACAAGCTATGTAAGCACACACACATTATAATACACTATCCCCAATCAATCAACAACACTGCTAATACTGACAAAACGTATGGCATGCGGATTCATCAGAAATACTTCCAGAACGACTTCTCGGCACTTACTTTACCCACTAAAGAGCTTCTGTAATTGTCTCCATCACCTTGGTCATCCTGTGCATGCAAAAAGCTCAAGTGAAGTGTGATGATAAAATGAGCATTATCCAGTGAGTAGCAAAGTGACTACTGCAATGACTTATTAGGACCAGCTTAGTGGCAAGCTGCACACACACGCTCTCAAGATTCACCCATCTTTATATAGTGATCTAAAGCTGAAGAAATTTAGGGTGCTTATTTTTTATCGGAGAAACGAAAGCTGCTGGGCTGAGAGAATGATATTATCTTTGTAAATGGTGAAGAGAAGAGAGAAAGGTTAGTTTAGAGGGCATGAGTGACAGATGGATGAAGAACAAGGTATGACAGTACACAATAGAGATGCATACTCTAGTTTCAATCTCATGTGTGCAATTGTAACTACAGTTGAGGGTTACATGTGCTGTAATGTTAGCAAAAAGTGGAGGAAATGCCAGCCCCCATCACTGTAATGGAGAAGACTGCAGCCACCATCACTGTAATGGAGAAGACTGCAGCCACCATCACTGTAATGGAGAAGACTGCAGCCACCATCACTGTAATGGAGGAGACTGCAGCCACCATCACTGTAATGGAGAAGACTGCAGCCACCATCACTGTAATGGAGAAGACTGCAGCCACCATCACTGTAATGGAGAAGACTGCAGCCACCATCACTGTAATGGAGAAGACTGCAGCCACCATCACTGTAATGGAGAAGACTGCAGCCACCATCACTGTAATGGAGAAGACTGCAGCCACCATCACTGTAATGGAGAAGACTGCAGCCACCATCACTGTAATGGAGGAGACTGCAGCCACCATCACTGTAATGGTAGTAATGGATGGAGGAGACTGCAACCCAGTTACTGGGTTGTAATATCTGATAAGTGTTTTCCTTTTTACCAGGGTTATGAGAGTGTATTTTGTTACGGGTGCAGCACAGTATTATGATGTATCCATTATTGAATGTGTTTGCTAAAGGTGTACACAGGGGGACGATAAAAGACCATATATTTGTAACTACAGTATTGCTACCTACTTTTATCTACTGTCACATTTTGAACAGATTCCATGCAAGAATTTTTCACTAGGAATTAACTAATTTTACTCTAGACCACTGAACAATTATCTATAACTGCTACTATACAAAGAGTGCGTTCTTCATCTCACATCTGTGTTAAAAGCTCAAAAACAAATAACTTGAAAGATATACAACACAACACTAATATCAGCAGCAGTCACTCTGTCATTTTCAAATTACAAAGCTAAACATTATGACAACAAATCAGTATCTCATATCATTATCAAAAATGATTTTGAAAATACACACTCATCTCGGTAAAATTTATTGATACAGTATATGATTCTGATTATCTATACAGTATCAATCAATGAGCGTGGAAAATATTTGAACGTTATTAGAGGTTTCTTCATTGCTCTCCCAAGTCATGTAGCCATCTGGTCCACTCAGTCCACAATACACATTGAGCTATTGAGCCGCTCTTCAGGGTGCTAACTGTACTGATAGGTAAACCGAGTCTTTAAGACAATGGAGATGTCTCTCTCTCCACCACCCATCAGAAACCCAATTATTTCTCTGCCAACTTTCCAATAGAGTCCTAGCCACTAGCCTTTGCTGCCACTAGATGACAGCACTCTACATATAGAGTTAGGGGAGTGGGCAGCCTTCAACATGCTCAAGGAGTCAGGATATAAAGGCAAGGATGTGAAGGAAGTGAGGACAAGATCATTAGCCTGTCACAGATTTGGAGAGTGGCAAGTTTTGTGGAGTGTGAGAGCCACATATGGTTACATGGTTCAGGAAGTCATGTCGAGGGCTAGCTCAGATACTCGTGCAGCACAGTATACTCAAACCCCATTTATCAACACTAACTCTTGTTCAACATCATCCACATATGAACACTATGTGCCATTTTGAAAATAAGCCCATGAAAAACAACAACTGTAAAAGAAGCTGATATTTTTTCTAGTTATTTACTGGACAAACAGTAAATAGCGTGATTAACACATTTAAGTCATTTTAATTATATTTTCCTTAATATTTACAGATTCAATATTTTAGGAAATGTCCTTGATGCGCTACATCCCAAGCAACCACATTTTATCACTTAAACTTTGTGATTCCTTTTCTTGTTTTCATGCTCTTTTGGGGGTTACATACAGTCCTTGTATACAGTATTAGAGTGGGAGGCGGTGGAGCACTATAATTATAGAAATATTATCTATTATATAACTAAACAGGGAGACTTGGGAAGGGATTTGTATAGTGCGGAGACATTGGGAAGGGATTTGTATAGTGCTTACCAGGAATGTGTCCTCCACTCAAATCAAACTCTGTTACACCATCATGTATTAAATGGAATTTCAGTGTACTGTACTGATTATCTGTGCCAGTGATCATTTTAATTAGATTTTTCTCATAGCATGAGACAAGAATTATTTTGTTATAATTATATGATAAAAGAAGTGTTCTTATCATTAATAAACTATTAATTTTGTAAATAATACATTAATGCCTACATAATCTCATTGTATTACTAATGTGGATACTAAGGACTTTCTTTTAAGTTTGTTAGGAACTGATTCATTATGATATTAGATTTTGCTTAATAATAAATATTTGTTTACAGTATTAAAAGCAATTTTAACACATTAAAAACAGCTTTATCAGTTATCTCTACACAAAATTTTACAGAAAAAGAAAAGGAACTTTAGCTTGTTTTAGGAAAGCTGTTAGTGAATACAATATATATATGATTACTATATTGTAATATACAGTCACTGCTATATAGAAGTGACTAACTTACTATATACTATTAAGTCACTTCTATATAGAAGGGACTGCTAAATTATACTATACAGTCACAACTATGCAAAAGTGTATTAAAACACACAAGCAGCGTCAAAATTGGAAATGTTCTGCTATGCTCTACAAACACTTTTGCTGCACCTCTCAACAACAGGATATATGATACTCACCCTTTCATCTACTTGTCCAAAACCAACATTTTCATCATTTTCTCTGGAAAAGAGAGAGTATTTTCATTAACACTGTCAGGAATGTATTTCAAGATTAAATAATAAGGTTGTGAGTAACATAAAAGCTGGTTTCGAGCAGCTCCTCAGTTGTTCCCTAAGTCAGACCCTACAGTCCATTCAGGACGGTGTCAAATACGCCAAGTACTTTTAGCTTTTGCAATTGGTCTTTTCATGTAATTTGAGGAAGAATGACAGTATGATTTCTCAACAGTAACAGTAAGACAGTAAGATCACTGAACAACTACTTGTTAGAAGATGAAAGTGTAGTAACTCAAGATAGGAAACAAAGGCTGCTCTCAAATGAAGTGGAAGAAGAGAAAGCTGGATGCAAGAGAGGCCTTTTGACCGTGTCGTGGCACAGTCGATTAAGGTGCGTCTGGGATGCTCTCGGACGTAGGTTCGAACCCTCATCACGTCCTTTGTGGATTTGTTCATTAATATTTCATGTAAATAATCAGCAGAGATATATTATGGGACTAAGGGGAAAGGATGACCCATTCCTAACAGATCTACGAAAACAAATTTCCCTCTACCCATCTGATTGTCCTCGATAGATGTAATAGAACCCGTGAGCACCACACCAGAAATAAATATCTCTTTGATATTCCAAAAGTGAGAATAAATCTGTGCAAACATTCCATGCAAATAAAAGTACACAGTTTATGGAACTTGCTCCCTAATGAATTAAAAAATTCCCCAACCTCTGCTTTATTCAAAAGTAAAACTAAAAAGTCCCTAATTTCATCCTCATAGTCTACCTGATGCTCCAAACTCACGCTGTATCGTGTGCTGCCCACTCACCTAATTTTAGTACTTAAGGCTTGCAACTTCACCAGTATAATCAATGCCATATCAATTTATACTCAAATTATTATGCTGAACTCAAATTCTGCTGCAATGTACATGTTAATACTTTTATTAGTTAGATTAAGGACTTGCCCGAAATGCAATGCTTGTTAGTGGCTTTACAAGAATGTAATACTCAATGTACCTTCTTGTATATAAATAATTAAATAAAGAAATAAAGAAATCTTTTGTTTTGAAATTACACTCCAACGTTACATTATCTATATATGATATTAAGTTTCAGTTTTGGTTTTATTAAAAAATTAACAAATAATTTTTTGTAGAGGGTTATTTAAGCTTATAACTAGTTCTCGCTGACCGAAGTGAACTTGTGCCAGAAACTTTGAAGGTATCATACAAAAGAAAATATATGCAGTAATGCCTTTCCTGGATCACTGAAGCTATCCCCACCCAACTGGATCTCTGAAGCTATCCCCACCCAGCTGGATCTCTGAAGCTATCCCCACCCAGCTGGATCTCTGAAGTTATCCCCACCCAGCTGGATCTCTGAAGCTATCTTGCCAAAAGTACTCCCTACTAAAGATCACATCACATGTGGAAGTTCTGTTTGGCCTAATGTCACTTGCTCATCTAATGTATCTTGGCCTAATGTTGCTCCCTCCCTGCACCTCTATGAGGCGCAGGGAGCGAGTGACGGTTCATCATCCCATAGGGGAAAAAGGGAAAAAGGATCCAGAAAGTCAGCAAAGCTTTATAGACAACTTGAGGGTTCCCAGAAAATGAAGCCTTGAAACTGCCAAAGTCCTGTGCAAATGATTCACTCAGAACAAGGGATGCACTCAAGCTGGCTTGAAATTCATTTGCATCGAACACCTCCACCAGGTGGCCCCGGACCAGCTTGCAGCTGGCTTCCCTGGCCAGTCAGTTCTGTTGCTAATATTTTGGTGGATTGTTCTACCAGTAGTGCTCTGGTCTGCCAGTCATGAACATGCCCCACAGCTTCAAGCTAAGTGCCAGCCATCCTTGGATTTTGTTGGTCTTGCAGGGGGGCCATTTGCTTGTGTTGACTTTCCTTTACCTTAATCTTGGATCGATGTGCATGTTTTCTCTCTGGCTTGTTATATGGGCTTTATTTTTGTTGTGCTTTGGGATGCATGCACTCTTGGCTTTCTTCCCTGGGTGCCTGCTAGTACTGCCCTTGAACAGTCAAGAGTTATCTTCTCTCCTGTGTTAGGGAGTTTGCCCCCTGAAAGGCCAGGTCACTGTGGCAGAGAGCCTCACTTTGGGCTGTTCACAAACCTTTGATTCCTCTGTTAGGGCCCTTGGCTGGAAGCATTCTTTTTGTTATGTTTGGGTGTACTGGGGTTCATGTGCTCGTTCATACAGTGGACTGCAGTTGCTATTCGTAACATGCCTGATTTGGCTGCACTTGGTGGCTTCTTTTTGCGAGCAGCCCCAAAGCCTGGGATTTCTGCTTGGGAAGAAAGTGCTACCTTTAGGCCTTGGTAATCCCTTTGCAGGTCTCTGGCATGGTTCCTTATGGATTGGCCCATCGAGCCAGCACTTGCCATATGTGAGCTTGAAGGGTGTTCATCGTCTTTGCTACCTTATAATCATTCTTTCTGCCTGTGCTATGAGGAGTGCTGGGTCGGTGACACCTATGACACCGAGTCCTGTAAGAGTTGTTCTCACTGTGTGTCTATTCTCACTGATTCAGCTTTGAGTTTGGAAGCTTTTAAGGTAGCTGCCACTTTGCGAGCTAGGTTTTCTTGGGTTAGGTGTGCATGGCATATTCATCATCCTGGACTTGGCCTCTATGGTATTTAGGGACCCAGGACTGGAGATGTTGGTGACCTCCACCTGAATAAGCTCATGCCGCCTCTTCCTTTCTCCATGAGTGTGGGTCACCCTTCCTTCTAATCTTCCCCCTCTCCCTTCGTCCATTAGTTCTGGCTCTGAGGCATCCGAGGGCTTCGGGCCAGGGTTTAGCTCGGCATGTAGCTCAGCCTTCTCATGGGATGGTTCCATCTACGTTGGCATCAGAGGCAGTTGAGCCTTCTAGTCCCATCCACACTGGCAGCAGAGGCAGTTGAGCCTTCTAGTCCCATCCACACTGGCAGCAGAGGCAGTTGAGCTTTTAGCCCCACTGGGGTTTCAGGGCATTCACCCTCAGTTGCCTCCCTCTTCTCCCCTCACTCCAAACCTCTGCATGTTTTATACACAGTCCATTGCCCTGCGAAGCCAGACGCTTCAAATAGCTCAGCTTCTGGATACCCGGGGTTTGGTTCTCCACACGGTTCATGTGCAGGGGGTGTCCCATATTCTCGTGGATGGGTTAGCGTGATTCCATCCCATTTCCACAGAGTGCACCATTGATATCATGTTTTCTCTCAGCTCTATGAGGCATTCAGTCACCCTGAGGTGGACCTCTTTGTGTCTGCATGGAACTGGTGCCTTCCCTCCTCCATGGCCCTCTCTTTTCCTATCACGAGGCTTTCATGGTGGATGTAGGTTGAGGTGGAGGTGCATTTACTTTGTTCCCCAAGTTCAATTGTTGCTCTGGGTTCAATCCAGTTTGGAGTTGTGCTCAGAGGGCTTCTTTTGGCTTCTTGGTGCTGGGCATAATCTTAGTTTCCAGTGCTTCTGGCCCTATGTCTGGATTTGGGTGTTTTCCCAAATTCGTTATTTGAGGTTCCACTGTATTAGGTTGCCTGGCACTCATTTTGCCTATATTTGTCTCTTTGCTGTTTGTCTTCAGTTTTGGTCTGGGTTGTCCACTCCACTTTGCCTTGGTCATTTCTCAATCGGCATCTCATGCCTAATACTGTCGCCTCTTCTCGTTGTTTTAGCAGAGGAGCTGCTGGTTGCATACAGTGTCAACCTGTCCACTGCGCTGTTCCACAAGTTATCTTGTGTGTTTTCTCATCTCTGTCTTGATCATGCTCCTCTTGAGACATCCTGGTCTCTTAGCTGGGTTTTGGTTTCCTCTCCACCTCAAGTTACTCCTTCAGCTGCAATATCTTTTCTTAGTTGTGATTTTGTTAGTCCTTGCTTCTGGCTGTTGGGCTGGGGAGCTTCAGGCTCTTTTCTGGAGGAAAGGATTGTGTTCTTTTGGCTCTGGTGGGCAGTTTGCTCATTTGCAGCCTTCTCCTTTACTGCTGAAAAATGAGTTGTTGGGCTTCTGGAGGGGTCCTTTGGTAACTGATGCTTGATGCACCAGGGGGTGCATCAATTGTTTTGTCCGGTGGTGGCTCTTTGCCACTACCTGTGGGCCACCTGTTTGGTCTCGGTGGATGCCTTGGATAATGACAACTTTCCCCACCTGCCCCCTCAACACTAAACCCCCTAACTACTGACACCACTTGCCCCCTGACACGAACCCTCACCAATGACCCCACCTACTTCCGAACATTTGTGTGTTCCACTGAACATTTAGTACTGAACTCAATTTGTTTGGGCCACCCAGGAATTTGTTGGAACGGGGTTTGTTAAAGTGAGGATGCACTGTACTAATAAAAGAATTTTTGTTATGACACCAATTATCAGCTTTATAGCACAAATCAACAGCGTTAAAAACACAAACTGGTAATACAGTCGGGTTCATTCCCATGTCAATTGAGAATTTTGGGTTTGAATCCCAGACAGGACAGAAATGATTGGGTGTTTCCTTTCACCTAACAATACATAAGTACCCTGGAGTTAGTCAGCTTGTTGTGAGGTTGCATTCTGGAGAGGGTCAGTAATTTAACTTTGGGGTGACCTCAACATAAGCCTAACATGTATATATACACTGGCTCCCTGTCCCAACACAATGATATATTATTATTATTATGTTATAAACAGAGAACTTCTGCCTTCCCTGGCATGACAGCACCTCATACTGTAAAAATGCATCCATGCTAGATTTAAATGTAACATCACATGACTATTTACTGGAAATTTTGCTTAATTTTAAAATATGTGCAAGTGACTTACTCCATCTCATTAGATTTCTCAGAGAACACTCTGAGGATGAACTCTCCTTCCTCATTTGGTTCAAATGTTGATGGAACGATGCAGTACGTGCCAGGGGGAAGCTTAAAGCGGCATGACACCTCACGCATGTTGATGAAGGATGGAGAACGTGCCACTGATGCACTGTACTTGAAGAAGTTGAGATCCAGAGGACGTGGTACATTATCTGGATCTCGTAGCTGAGGAGAAAAGCATGTTTTAAGACCGAGCCCTGATCATCTAAAGCTCCACTGCTCTCTATATTACTTGCAATATTCAACAACAGTCAGAAGCAGATGGAGAAAAGAGAAGAGGTCAAATTCATCTTTGATGGTTTTACATAAACTTCATGGACTTGGTGACAGAAAAGGGAGATAAAGAGAAAGATACTGAAAACACACTGAAAGGGAGAGAGGGAGGAAGGAAGAGAATGCATGCAGACTATAGTTTAGTAGTCATGGCTCACTGTTACCTTGTCTTCCATATATTGAAGCTAATTAAGCAAACTGACTTTAACAAATTAAAATGTGTGTGTTTTGCTGTAGAGCTGCAAAAAAATTTCTTTTGTAAACAGTGGTAGCTGGATTATGTGTACTTATCTGTTTTTGACAAGTCATACCACTTCTCACATGGCTATAGCACATTATTACCTGACTATTTTGTTGAAGGTGCTTTAGTGTGTTTTAGGCCTTTGAAAATTAGTTAAAGATATTTCAAGGAATAAGTGGAAAGTTTGATTGCTTACATGATAGATGGCAAAGCCAATAGTTAGGCACTCGAGGCCCAGCTTCCTCTGTGAGCGGCGGTTCTTCTGCATGAGCGCTACAATTACAGTACACTTGTTGTCGTCGTCGTCGTCGTCCACTTCTGTCAGCGTGATTCTGTACTGAGGGTTGTGCCAGAATGTATCTGTTCAAAACAAAATGCAGAGAAATAAAATATTGTGTGATATTTCTAAATATCTTATTCAATTAGATTAGATTCATTTGTTCATGTGGTAGCGTTTATTATTATGATGACTTGTAATTCCCTCCTGATACCTTCGATTTGTGTTATTTCAGATATCATGTAAGGAACCTAGGTGAATAAAGCTGAGAAAGCCAGATTCAAGTATACAGTGTCATTTATCACAATTAACTTCATATTGAAAATTTGTAATGTAGTACAGTAATATTGTACTCTGATTAGACATCTGGTCATCACAACTCATCGTTAATGCACAAGACGACCAACTTCAAATTGAATGATTTTTTACCCTAATATTAAATGACAATATAGCATTAAAACATCTATATAAATGAAAATGTAAATGTTCGTTTGTTCAAAATCGCTAATCTCCGAAAGTTCTTCACCGATTGCCGTGAAATTTTGACAACGTTCTATTCGAATACGCTCGTGTTTTTATATACCTACTATATAGATGCCACACCTGTGACAGGTGAAAACATTTTTTTTTAAAAAGCAGCGCCATCTGTTGCACATAATAGCAACACACTCTATACTAAATATGTTATAATTACATTTCAATGTTTCCGACTGCATTGATAATTTGAATTTTCATAGATTTTGATTATTTTCATTTTGATTTAATTATTTTGTGTGACACTGCATTGGAATTGAGCAATGTTGTTTACCATACCGTTCATTTCGTAAGAACAGTATACGTAGAGATGCCACACCTGTGACAGGTAAAAGCATTTTTTTTTTTTCAAAAACAGCGCCTTCTGTTGCACGTAAGAGCAACACACGGTATACATACAAAATATGTTATGTTTCCATTTCAATGTTTCTGATAGCATTCAGAAAGGAAACGGGGAGGGGGGGAAATGGTGGGGAGAACTAGGGGATGGGGGGGTGTGGGGAATTGTTGGGAGAAACGAGGGGATGGGGGGGGGAGGGGGAAATGAGAGGAGTACAGGGGGACAGGGGAGGGTTGCTGTGGCTCAGCAACGCACATGCATTGCTTAGCCACAGCAACGCGTGGCCGGGTACAGCTAGTATTTAATAAAAGTATGACATTTTAAATTGGACATTATAATCCATAATTTAATGTACAGCAGACTTGTCAATCAGTTAGCCTGTGTTTTCTTAGTTTTCCCAATACAGTAATTTCTTACCCAAGAAGTTTCTACAGCCACCGGCTGTGGATCCACGAATCCAAGCTCCTTCAAACACACTCATTTCCCACTTGTGTTGAACGGATCCTGTTATGTCCTCGTCATCCAAGGAGTCAGGGTTCAAGTTGGTCAATTCCAACATAGTGAAGTTTGATAAGAAGTCCTATAAAAATTAAAAAAGAGCATTTTAGTTAATAAGTACCAGGGGCCAGATAAAGTGAAGTCTTTACAAGTAAAGACTACACATTTTTATAAAAAAGGATGCAAAGTAAAACACCTTGACTGAATGATGGGAAATATGGAGACAGTATGGCATTATAGTTCGACCATCCAGAAGCTGCATCTAAACAACAACAAAAATGAAACATTAAAAACACTGGCAAACATTTATTTAAGCAATTATTAACAACGCTGTAGAGAACGCTGACCTTAAATGACATCCAGAACTCTCCGTCGTGTTCAAAAGTCAGACCTATCTCTTCCTTTTCCTCTGGTGGAATATACCGCCACTCGGGACTTTGGTCACTCCACGCTCCTTGCCACTCGGCTTCATTTCCCCAAGGATTACGAATTCGAATGAGTGGAATCTTGCCAGACACTCTGGGTGTGTTGATCTCACAATACTTGATCCTGGTGACAGAGTAGGCATGGCCACGAATGAGGCCAGTGTCACAGCGGGCTTCCACTTCATTTGGGTCGGGCTGAAAAAAATGACAGTACAGTACTGTAATGAGTAATTAAAATACATGAATCTTGGCTGGATACAATTCAGAAGACCACTAAGAGAAAATATAAAGTATTTTTTGCATTTCTTTTATCTATTCCTTTTAACCCCTGCACTGCGCACTTATTTAAATTACATTCCCATGGTGCGCTGAAAATAAATTGATCCAAAAACAGTATTTTTTCTATTGGCATTGTTAATTAGCACCCAGGAAGTACAAAAATCCAAATAAAAAGTTTCTACCTCTTGTAGTTTAACTGTAGTGTCCTGGAGAATGTGATTTTTTGGTAAAAGTTAGGTGAGTTGCCACATGGGAATAACTGTTTATTTATTTTAAATGTTTCTCACTTTATTTATTTTTTCGCTCTAATAAGTTGTATCTATGTGTCAAAGATGGTGTTCATTATGTATAACTTTGAAAATCTACATATATACAGATATACACGTGTACAGTAAAAGTATATGCATACCATGTATTTATTCATACTAATATATATATAAAATCCTAATTCTTATAATGGGACATAGCACACATTTTGCCTGAAATATATAATGGTAATCACTCAGTTGCTGCTGTTAAAATTTCAGTGAGTCACAGTATAGCTGCCCCTACACATTCCTAAAGCCTTAGGAATGCCTTAAAACCGTAAGCCTTAAAACATTCTTAGGAATATTTCGTAGGCCTTAGTAACCTAGGCCATGTTACTAAGCCCTTGGAAGGAAAGTGAGGGACTCGGGATGTTTTTTCAGGATGAGGGATGGTTGCTGAAGGATCAAGCAGGTATCAAGCAGAAAGCAAATGTGTGCCACCTTGTATGCATGGGAGTTTCGAATCTTATGATATACTAACATAATCACCTGTTGGCTGGCGCACCAGCACAGCCCCTTGATTGCAAAACTACAAAGCCAGTGCTTGGTGAGGTCTCCTAAACCAAGGGCAAGGCTATATTCACACAGTCACACATTCAGACTAACACAAATCTGTTTTATGTTTAAGATTTTAACTAGACAGTTGTAATAAGCAAAACTGTTATAAAATTCTAAACTCTCTCCCCGAATTAAAAATATAAATACAAAAGTTCCCTAGGTAATCATAATGTTATGAAATCTTGTTATTTCCTATCTTCTTCATATAAATTCAATCTCATTAATAAATGAACTATCTCAAGTGAATATTCTATAAGTAGGATCTCTAATGCAAAATTCTTACCATCAATATCTCTCCAGCACACCAGTTTCTACTTCACTAAATGTAATAATAATGAACCTACTTCCAGAGAGCATCCCATTAATGATCCACGCTGGTAGGCCTTTAGCATGATGTTGAAGAGGTTTGGAGGTGCCTTGGTGAGGTCGTAAATTTCAGAAACTCCTCCAGTGAAGTCCTCCATGGCCTCACAGGTAGTCCCTCCCTTCAAAGCCTCATATGAGCCATGCAACCTTAGAAGAAAAACTCTCAAGTTCAAACAACTCAAGCCTTGACTGAATATCAAAAGCTCATTTCTGAACAGTTGACTGATGCTCTCTAAGCCAAGAGTCTTCCTGGTACTATTGGACAGGATCGTGTCAGGCAGGACTGGGCGATGTTCTGCATCTTGCCAATGCACAACGTCACCCTGCTCTGGCACGCACCTTTCCAAACATCCCTATCGACTCATACTGGTACAAGGGCACGTACAGTACTGCAGAAAAGCTTGACCCAGCCCAGTAAATATAGTTATATTTATGTTATTGTATATTTTTATTTTATTTTATTTTTGCATAATGTGAAATTTTTGTATTACACACTGTATTTGTTTTGTTAAATAGTGCCATACTTTTTTTTTTTTACATTCGGCATAGAGGTAATGTTGCCAACTGTAGGCAAATTTTTGTTTGCATCATGACCAGACAGTGGTGTTGGAAAGAGTCTAGTTGTGCTGGTGTGGAATGTCAACTTCATCTGACTGTACATAATCCTGATCTTAAGACCGGCATGACCTTAGGAAATAGCTATGAGAGCAACAGTGTCCTGATCAACATGGAGCCTTTCATCTATTATACACTGAAAGCCTGCTTTTTGATTCAACTGTAGCCTTGGCCGTGAGCTTCAAAATACATTGGAAATACAGTAACTAGAGAGCTTTCTTAAACAGAGTAATTTAAAAGATACTGTAATGCCCTTTTTTTCTAATGCATACGGATTAAGAAGCAAGATACAAATTAAGCAGTTTGAATCTAGCATAAATATTGGAAATTGTATTCAATTTAGTTATATAAATCCAAGAGATTTTGCACAACCTGCAACATACCTTTTGTACATATCCTGCAAAATACTAGAAAAATATTCATGAAGGTAATTATAGAACATTTTGACAGAATCAATTTTTTTAAAAGAACCAAAATGAATGTATAGGAAGCAAGTTATGCCCAATGAACTATTAGAACCTGTTATGACAGTGTCGCAAAGACACTGTCATGAAGACACTGTCATGAAGACACTGTCATGAAGACACTGTCTCTCACTGTCTTCAGACAAGAGAGAAAAGGCTGTATGACCTGTGTCCTCCTTGGCTGCCAAAAGTGCCTCTGATCCGGTCATCCATCAAAGCCTAGTATATTAGAGGGAAAAGCAGGCTTGGATAACTGAGTGTGTGCTGGGCATAGGTAGGGAGAGTGCTGGGCATAGGTAGGGAGAGTGCTGGGCATAGGTAGGGAGAGTGCTGGGCATAGGTGGGGAGAGTGCTGGACAAAGGTAGGGAGAGTGCTGGACAAAGGTAGGGAGAGTGCTGGACAAAGGTAGGGAGAGTGCTGGACAAAGGTAGGGAGAGTGCTGGACAAAGGTGGGGAGAGTGCTGGACAAAGGTGGGGAGAGTGCTGGACAAAGGTAGAGAGAGTGCTGGACAAAGGTAGAGAGAGTGCTGGACAAAGGTAGGGAGAGTGCTGGACAAAGGTGGGGAGAGTGCTGAACAAAGGTGGAGAGAGTGCTGGACAAAGGTGGAGAGAGTGCTGGACAAAGGTGGAGAGAGTGTTGGACAAAGGTGGGGAGAGTGCTGGACAAAGATGGAGAGAGTGCTGGGACAAAGGTGGAGAGAGTGCTGGGACAAAGGTGGGGAGAGTGTTGGACAAAGGTGGGGAGAGTGTTGGACAATGGTGGGGAAGTACTTAGCTGACAGAATAAAGTGGGTCCCAGTGAGAGGAAATATCCCATTAGAAAGTCTCAGAGGGTTTGGACCTTGGCCCCTACTGTTTCTGATCTACACAAATGGCCTATTCAAGATGATAAGATCTTAAATGACAGTGCTTGCAGAGTATTCAAAATAAGGAGGGTAAAAATTGAAGAGGGTTTGGTTGTAGGATATTACAGAACATGCACCAGGTAGAAGATTGGGACCAAAAGTGACCCACTAAAGTTATATACAAGTAAATGACAAGAAATTAAGTTTTGGCATAGTGAAAGAATGCCCCAAGGGCAGTACAATGTAAGATGACAATTAGAGAAATAAGACAAGGAGAAGGACTTTACTGTGACCATCACACTACACTACACATAAGGGGCATAACTGGCCGACCCCTCACAGTGTTCAAGAGAGAACTGGATAAGCACCTCCAAAGGATACCTGATCAACCAGGCTGTGACTCATATGTCAGGCTGCGAGCAGCCGCACCTAACAGCCTGGTTGATCAGTCCGGCAACCAGGAGGCCTGGTCGACGACCGGGCCGCGGGGACACTAAGCCCCGGAAGCACCTCAAGGTAACCTCAAGGTAAGGTATCACACTAGTTACAATGCTGGAGGTACACAAACTTAATAACATAAGCAGGATATACAAAATTAATACACACATTGATAGCCATTAAAAACCTAAACATAACACTTTATGCAGCCAATGTCAGGCCAGTTCTAGAATGTGATTGGTGCACAGTTCAGGGAGTTGAGCTATTAAGGCAAGTTAATGGAACTCAATATAACAATATTACAAAAGAGAGTTATCAGAGGAGATATTAAACATATAAGAAACTGAGAGGAATAGATGAGGTGGACAGACAGACTCCCCGTTGGGGGTAAAAAGTAATGGGGTGGAAAAGGTGGAAGCTAAAAATACAAACTGGAGATGCAAGAAAATAATCTTATTCTTCCAGTAGGCACAGTAAGGCAAACACAGTATTTTTATATTTAGATCTTTTAATTGTCATCATCATCAGGCCCTACAGGTAATGGGATTATTTGTAGAATACTGAACTGTAATGGTTTAGTGAACATACTTAGCATAAGCCTTCTCAACAAGAGCAGACCAAAATTCATTCTTTTCTTCTGAGTGCATGAAGACAAGACGGCCATAGAATGTGGGAAGACGATCGTCAATCACCACATCTACCCAGCGTCCATATTGCCAAAATCTGTAAACATAAGAAATTTACCCTTTAATTATCAAAAAGTAGTTCAGCAAGTGCATTACAGTATTTTAGCTGTTTATATCAGAAACAGATCTAAAACAGATTTAGAGGGTCCCGGTAGTACAGTTGGGTTTGTTTTTGATGCAAAATTGAGAATTCTGGGTTTGAATCCCAGGTGGGACAGAAATGGTTAGGCACATTTCCTTTCTCCTAGGGTAGACCGCAGGCTGGCTAGCTGTAATGACACTGCGGACAACCAGGGAAACACTAGCTCTGGAACAGGGAACCAGAGAAACCACAACAACCCACAAGCCACCTGAAACAGAACCAGTGGCTCGAAGGTTGAGGTGTTAAGCCACTGCCTTCGGACAAAGTGAATGATGCACCCCCTTAAACCAGGCAGTGGTTTGTTTTGATTCAACTATCTTTCTGGAAGCTTTCCTGGTGATGGCAAAGATGATAACCTTTAAATGTAAAGTGATCGTAGGCCATTGCTCCCTTTGCCTCTCTAAGGGGGACCAGGTTCTGCCTCGTGGTCCTCCGGTAGGCAAAAAGAACTCTACAACTGATGGCATTTAGTCAGTGATAATAGCTTCAGGAAGCTGACGGGGCTTCCCCAGAAAAGTTTTGGGGGGAGGGGGGGGGGGAAGGTACCGAAACACAACTGCAGCAGTACTTTCATGATTCTGACTATCCCTTTCTTGCACATTTTAATACTCTATGCTTTTAACAGCAAGAGATTCTTACCTGAAGTGGAAAATACCAGCATAGTTGTCTCCAAATCCTTGATCACTAGGCACAATCTGATAAAACAGACGCTTATTCAGCGTCAAGTTTGCCACAGCAGCCAAGAGCCAACAGTCACCTTGGAATAGAAAAAGATGTCATATTAATATCAAGCCACGAAGATTTCACTTTCACTCTCCTAAAGTTTGCTGTCAGTGACAAACCCCAAAATTTAGTTTCATCATAGAAAGTGGGGGATGGGGAGAGGAAGCGGCCCCCTAAATTTCTTAATCTTTACTTCTACAAGACTTTATGCCTTCTTTATTTCCCGTGATAATTTAATGTCTTTTTAATTGCCTCAATAATTTGTCCTCTTTATTTGATAATTTTATGCCGTCTTTTTTCTAAAGCATTTTATGCCTTCTTTATTGCCAAAGCCATTTTTTTTTTTTGCAAGACAGGACCATAATATTGGCCTAATTTAAGCAAAAGTAATACTGCATTATCCAAAAAGTGTGTCTGGCAATTTGAATCTCCTGACCTTTGCTGTTTGTGTGTACAGTATGTCTGCATGGATGTTAAATATTTAAGGTTTATATGCTCTCAGTGCTATGTAACTGAGGCTCAACGAGTGGCTACAACAACAACTCAATTACCTGACCTTTTGTGTTTGTGTAATTACCTAAGTGTTGTTACAGGATCAGAGCTACGCTCGTGGTGTCCCGTCTTCCCAGCACTCTTTGTCATATAACGCTTTGAAACTACTGACGGTCTTGGCCTCCACCACCTTCTCACTTAACTTGTTCCAACTGTCTACCACTCTGTTTGCAAAAGTGAATTTCCTTATATTTCTTCGGCATCTGTGTTTAGCTAGTTTAACTCTATGACCTCTTGTTCTTGAAGTTCCAGGTCTCAGGAAATCTTCCCTATTGATTACTGTTTTTTATTACTGTTATTATTTTGTACGTAGTGATCATATCACCTCTTTTTCTTCTGTCTTCTACTTTTGGCATACTTTATGCCTCTAACCTCTCCTCGTAGCTCTTGCCCTTCAGTTCTGGGAGCCACTTAGTAGCATGTCTTTGCACCTTTTCCGGTTTATTGATGTGATTCTTAAGATATGGGCACCACACAACCGCTGCATATTCTAGCTTTGGCCTAACAAAAGTCGTGAACAATTTCTTTAGTATTTCGCCATCCATGTATTAAAAAGCAATTCTGAAGTTAGAAAGCATAGCATAGGCTCCTCGCACAACGTTCTTTATGTGGTCCTCAGGTGATAGTTTTCTATCTAGAACCACCCCTAGATCTCTCTCTTTATCAGAAATCTTTAAAGATTTCTCACATAATTTATAGGTTGTGTGGGGGTCTATGGTCTCCTATTCCACATTCCATAACATGGCATTTATTAACATTAAATTCCATTTGCCAAGTGGTGCTCCATATACTTATTTTGTCCAGGTCATCTTGAAGGGCATGACAATCATCTAAGTTTCTTATCCTTCCTATTATCTTAGCATCATCAGCAAACATGTTCATATAATTCTGTATACCAATTGGTAGATCATTTATGTAGACAATAAACATCACTGGTGCAAGAACTGAACCCTGTGGTACTCCACTTGTGACATTTCTCCAGTCCGATACATTGCCTCTGATTACTGCCCTCATTTTTCTATCAGTCAGAAAATTTTTCATCCATGTTAGAAGCTTACCTGTCACTCCTCCAATATTTTCCAGTTTCCAGAACAACCTCTTATGTGGAACTCTGTCAAAAGCCTTTTTTAGGTCCAGATAAATGCAGTCAACCCAACCATCTCTTTCCTGTAAAATTTCTGTGGCTCGATCATAGAAATTGAGTAAATTCGATACACAGTCACATACAGTGTATGTCTACATTGATGTGAAATATTTAAGGTATATGTGCTCTCAGTGCTATGGAACTCCGAGGCTGAAAGAGTGGCTAAAACAAGCATCCAGTGTGTAAAAAGGATGCAGACTATTACAAGAATAATTTACAGCTGCAAATCCTATACAATGGACATTCAAAAAGACATACATGTTGAAAACCAGTAAGGAAATATTGGAATGGTATGGGTTGCAGGAAAATTATGTGGGCGGAATGTTGTGGAGCCATGGAAGGGATTGCTGTGTGTTTGAGAGGGAGCCCATCATAGGACATCAGACAGGTTGTGTGTCAGAACCTATGGTCTTTTGTGTCAGCAACTTATGGGAGTGCTGCCACATCAACATTCTCAATTAACTAGATAGAACTATTTGTTCTTCCTTATGTAAGCCCAAGATAACTAGCCACACCTCCAGTACTGTTACAGGAGACAGTACTGCTACTAGTATTAATACACAAACAAATCACCGTAGCACTCCAGGTTGCAATTCTTTTACCATGTGGTGGTACAGTTGACTAAGGCGAATCTGGGAACACTCAGTGCATAGGTTCGAACCATCATCAAGGCCCTTGTGGATTTATTCACTAGTATTAATTTTATATGTTATGCCACCTCATTAGTAGGGAATTCTCTTGTAACTAATGATGTGTTATAGTGGTGCTAGTCTAGCATCATGGTTTATCATACCCTATACTGAAGAGAGACTTACATTTTGTGAAAATGGTCTATATGTTTCATTCCAAACAGAACTTATGACACGTCACTCACCAAGTTCTCCTTGCTTGACATCAAAGCGGGATGCACCGTCAATGAAGAGTTGAGGTTCGTCTGTGATCTCCTGAAGGACCAAAATGAAAGGAACAACATTAATCTCCAACAGAAGATGTGCGTACTTAGCTACTGCCACAAGCTGGCAAGAAAACTTAAATAGTGTGGGAAGGGACATAGTAATACTGTTTCACTGACAACACACTGCTAGTTGTTCATATTTCTCAGGCTGTAATTAAGTCGTGTTCATAAGATATGCGCATTACAAAAAAGATGAAAATAGAAGTAATGTGGTACTGTTAAGTATGTGCCCATAAATAGTACAGTATTATATACAAGTGATGACCACTTGGAAAGTGAAAACCAAAGCAGTGTGTAAAATTCTTCATCAAATGTTGATGAGAAAAATGGCATGTATGAACAGGTATTTTACTGTGTATAATATTTTCATAACAAAAGCCATCTGTGAGCTAAGCATCAGCCCTAACAAAGCTTTTATTCCACATGTTATTGCTCAATGACCAAATGCTGGTAATGACTTTAATACTTAATGTAAATAAATGTCACCTTCCGTGACCTGGGATACTAAAGTGCTGAAGATATAGATAAATACTGTTTACTTTATCATATTAATGCAACCAAATCATGACTGGATATAGAGACTTATTTAATAACAAAGAATTTACGTTAGGCTACTGTATGCATAAACAGGAAAAATGACGAAGAAAAATAACATAATTATACTACAGCATAATCTGATTAGTACTGTATCAGTATATGTATGTGTAAAATTACTTGTGTAATTACCTAAGTGTAGTTACAGGATGAGAGCTACGCTCGTGATGTCCCGTCTTCCCAGTACTGTCATATAACACCTTGAAACTACTGAGGGTGTGTGTTGTGTACATGCCCTAAAAGTACTATATTTGAGGTGCACAATAATACAGCAACTGTAATAGCTGTGTAAATATTACAAGGAAAAATCTGGTGGCATTGTACAAACTCTAATGAACTACTCTACTACCAAAAATGAAAGATAGTGTTATTACAATTTAAATAATTAAACAGTTAATACTTGATGGATGACATCGATAAATTATCAATAATACTTTATCTGGGACTTAAGAAAGTGCTAAAAAAAATTTACATTTGAAAAATAAAGTTTTAATTCCACAATAAAGGTACTGTATCATTTTAGGGAAATTTTGGAAAAATAACAATAAAAAGAGTCAAGAGAAGCACTAAATAAAGAACAGCAATATAGGAAAAGTTAACACAACGTGCAGGTGAACCAACACAAGACGAACATATCAGAAATAATACACTACCAGTATTTACAACTCCTATAATATTGCTAATACAATATACAATAAAGCCCATATAATCAATAACTAAGCCAGTACAGTACATAAAAAGTACACATTATCTACTACAATAAACAAAGCGAACACAATGAAAATGAGTATTAAACAATGCTGCTTGAGTAGCAGGGACATTTTCCCAGCATGCTGTAGCAATTACCACTGTCTACACTTCCATAAAATGAAGAAAAATGTTACACAGTCTGACGTGATTATCTGATCAGATCTTCAAATTTGTCCCATAATTTCATGTAGGTATACTTTAGATACCATCAGTAAATAGGTAATACTGTATGCTTCTCGTGTTCCTAATGTGCCCGCCGCGTTCCTAGCGTCCCCCGCCGCCTTCCTAGCGTCCCCCGCCGCCCTCCTAGCGTCCCCCGCCGCCCTCCTAGCGTCCCCCGCCGCCCTCCTAGCGTCCCCCGCCGCCCTCCTAGCGTCCCCCGCCGCCCTCCTAGCGTCCCCCGCCGCCCTCCTAGCGTCCCCCGCCGCCCTCCTAGCGTCCCCCGCCGCCCTCCTAGCGTCCCCCGCCGCCTTCATAGCGTCCCCCGCCGCCTTCCTAGCGTCCCTTGCCGCCTTCATAGCGTCCCCCGCCGCCTTCCTAGCGTCCCTTGCCGCCTTCCTAGCGTCCCCCGCCGCCTTCCTAGCGTGCCCCGCCGCCTTCCTAGCGTGCCCCGCCGCCTTCCTAGCGTGCTCACCACCTTCCTAGCGTCCCCCGCCACCTTCCTAGCGTCCCCCGCCACCTTCCTAGCGTGCCCCGCCACCTTCCTAGCGTGCCCCGCCACCTTCCTAGCGTCCCCCGCCACCTTCCTAGCGTCCCCCGCCACCTTCCTAGCGTGCTCGCCACCTTCCTAGCGTGCCCGCCACCTTCCTAGCGTCCCCCGCCACCTTCCTAGCGTCCCCCGCCACCTTCCTAGCGTGCTCGCCACCTTCCTAGCGTGCTCGCCACCTTCCTAGCGGGCTCGCCACCTTCCTAGCGGGCTCGCCACCTTCCTAGCGGGCTCGCCACCTTCCTAGCGGGCTCGCCACCTTCCTAGCGGGCTCGCCACCTTCCTAGCGGGCTCGCCACCTTCCTAGCGGGCTCGCCACCTTCCTAGCGGGCTCGCCACGTTCCTAACGGGCTCGCCACGTTCCTAACGGGCTCGCCACGTTCCTAACGGGCTCGCCACGTTCCTAACGGGCTCGCCACGTTCCTAACGGGCTCGCCACGTTCCTAATGGGCTCGCCACGTTCCTAACGGGCTCGCCACGTTCCTAACGGGCTCGCCACGTTCCTAACGGGCTCGCCACATTCCTAACGGGCTCGCCACGTTCCTAACGGGCTCGCCACATTCCTAACGGGCTCGCCACATTCCAAGGGCAGTGCCATTAAAGTATGAGAGTATTTTTTAAATTTGTTTGTTGGTTAACAACTATTTAACTCAAATATTGCCAAACTAAGTCAAATATAAATAGCTGCAAGATTTTTGTATAATGATAAAGGAGATATTTTATGCACATAAGCAAAATAGTTTTCAAGACTGAATGCAGGTACTATACATGCATGTGATCTGTGGTATAGAACTGCACCTTTGTTCCATTATGCCTTGCCAGTAAGCAACATGAATAAGGCTTCAAGTCAATATGAAAAGCACTTTTGAAGAAAAACCCATCCATCCAGTTCCTTACAGTATGAAACTCATGCATTGTTTTAACGACAGGATTCATGAAAGTTAAGCAGAACGATCAAATCAACAAGGGCTGTGATGAGGGTTCGAACCTACATCCGGGATGATTCCAGACACACCATAGTCAACTGCTTCACGACATGGTAAAAGAATTGCAACCTGGAGTGCTACTGCCCTCACGAGGATCCCGCAGCTTGTCCGAAGTACAAACCGGGGTTTTACACAATTTCTCCATGTACCAGGGCTCTGTCAACCAAATGTTCTACATCTTTGCCCTTATTTCAATACATACAGAAATCACAATAGCAGAACAACACTTTAGTAATTGGCAGAATTAAGCGTATTAATTGGTGTATTAAGCAGAACGACATTCTAGTAATTGGTGTGCCGGGGATCTTTTTTAATGTACCTACTGGGTCATACAAGGTACAGTACTAGGAAGGCAATAGAGAAAAACTCATTCCAGACCATGATGACCCTCTGAGGAACATCCATAAAGATTCAAAGCATTAATGAATCCTCACTTGTGCTGAACTGAAATTTCTCCAGTGTCTTCCTAGCAACTTAAATGATCCTGCAGGGTTGTTCGAGATGATCACTGTGGCTAGTGCCTAGAACGTTTTTCTTTCTGTTCATCAATCCTGTCTCTTAACAACAAATTCTTACCTAAAGGAGCAGCTGGATACAATAGCTCAAAAAGTTAGTTTTGCCCCAGAACATTCTTGAATTCAATAAAAGACAAATGAAAGTTACTCTGCTAATGATGAAAACATAACTGTCAATCATATAGTAAAGCTGATGCTACTTAAGTACCAGTAATAAGGGAGACAGTTTAGAGCAATACATCCAACAAGCACATGTATAGAGCAACAACAAGCATGTATAGGGAGAAGAGAACAGCAGTGGTCAAATGACAAGTTCAAGCAGTATAAACATAGACTATGTGGGCAAATAAATAAACGAGTTAAATTGTTTAGTACTAGAACATATCACACAAAGATATGACTGTACTAAAGATTTGAATAAAAAATAAAAAATTAAACAAAATATAAAAATCTGAATTTGTTTCATAAAAAAAACAGATTCACTAGGAATAGATAATGCATACCGGTAGGTTTAAGCACACAGCTTAACAAGATCTAGCAAATTATACAGGCAATTGCAAAAGATGTACAGTATTTTATGCACTGTGTGGAAGAACAAGCTGATGTAAACCTGAAAGTTCGAAAGCTATTCCAATGAACTTTCCATTATTTATTCTGTTATTTTTTATTAAGAGACTTAATATTATTTTCCCTGGAGGTTTTTCTATGATCAAACATTGAAGTGATAATTCACAAGGCCTAAGTATAACACCCAAGTGTAGGCATATGTGCAGAAAAGCCATATCTTTTAACTACTCAAACCTGATCAGTCAATACCTTTAAGGCCAAGATCTCCTAGGAAAAGAAATTAACATGAGTTAGACATAATGAACATTCAAGATTCACAAGTGTATTGCTGATATGGTAAAAACAAAAGAGGCCAACTAAATTTGATTGAATGTTTTGTCCATGTTAACGTTAAAGACAAGTGTGAAGTGTGGGACCAGACTACACACTAGAAGGTGACGGGACGACGACGTTTCGGTCCGTCCTGGACCATTCTCAAGTCGATTGTGACAAGTAGACAATCAACTTGAGAATGGTCCAGGACGGACCGAAACGTCGTCGTCCCTTCACCTTCTAGTGTGTGGTCTGGTCAACATACTTTAGCCACATTATTGTGACTCATCGCCTGCACGTGAAGTGTGGGGTGAGAAAGAGAGGGCGTGGCTGGGTTGATGCCGTGCCCACACACCATCACCCTCACACCTTGAGATAAGACGGCACCTTTTGTATACTGATAACCAAAATGAGTTGCCTCAAGAATGTGAATAAAATACTCTATGCTCCTTTAGTTACTTCTTGCAAAATGCACTATTAGTCGAGTATGAATATTTAATAGTGTATTCACCTTGAGTTATACTTAACAATGCTAATTGATTGTTAATCTAAATCTTGAAAGAGTGCAACAATACAAGATATGTGTATTATTTTAACAGCATAGTTAATAAATTAATAAGCACTGTAATGCACAGAAATACGATCACATGTGTATAGTTACAAGTACTTAAACAAGAGAAGCATTAGTCACAAGACATATATATTAAATACACAGACAAGTCAACAGAATACTGTATAAATATGACATGCACCTGCAAAGTCAATTTTGTAAAGCATTTCTTAATTAATATTCAAAATTCAATTAATGATTGGGAATTAAAAATACTGTACATAAACTTACCAAGAAAACTGATAGTTTACAATGAAATATCATGTGAGCCCAAATTATAAATTACAAAAACAGAATATACTGTATTATATTATTGTATTATGAAGTTTAATAGTCAATAAAAGTCAATGTTCACTAAGTCAATGTTCACTAACTCAGGTGCAGCAAATTCTTGCTATTGAAATTCACACAAAATTAGATTTAAAATGTATAATGGTTCATTTTGAATGGGCAATAGCAACCACCATTTCTCATCTAATGCACTAATAATGTTTTAAGAATATTTATATATTTCTAACATAATAATAGTTTGGAAGATGCTACATGAAACACATGACTACAGTCACAAAAATATAATTTGTGTGATATAGTAATGTACAGTAATGGTTAGAAACAAGGTTTAACTTTTAATAATTATGCTAAAACTTTGATGAAATATCAACTTTGATTATAGATAGATCTGCCAAAGTGAGAGTTTGAAAACATTTCTGTGTATACTAATTTTGGCATTTGATTGAGGCCACATCTTCACCATGCACTACCTTCATCACTGTAATCATTTTCCCTTTACATGAACATCCTCATCACAGAAACCATTTTTGCTACCTGGGCTCTACTGGGTACTTCCCATCTAAGTCACCATCATCATCATCACCTTCTCTCTCCTTCACCACCTCCCCTCCCCTTCACTACCTTTCTGACCCCTCACTACCATTCCGACCCTTCACCACTTCTACTCATCGCAACTTTCCTTTCATCCCTATAAACACTGTCATCAATAAACTCCATAAAAGAAACTAACAGTTATTCATGCAGAAAATATTATGCTAGATGAATCTTAGTAAAGATGGCATCTGGTGTTTAGCAAGATTTAAAATAATGTCATTTTATATTACATGTAAAGAAAGGGGGGGTGGGGCCATGAGGCTCAACCCCAACCAGCAAATGTCCTTTCTCAGAGAAAGATCAGTCAACCTGCAAAGTTTAGTGAGGCTAGCCCCATATGTCTGACCTCCAACTTCAAGCAGACAGACAGACATTATGATTATACTAGAGGGGATATCCGGCTGTGCCTGGGTCTTTTTCCCTCTCTCATCTCTCTTTCTCTAAGCCCCATTTCCAACCTCTCCACCATGCTCCCCAAACATCTCCCCTCTACCTCTCCTCTCCCTCTACTTTCTCCTTCTCCCTTCTCTCCAACACTCGTCCTCTCTCCCAATCTCCACTCCCGATTTTTTCGCCTCTCCTACATCTTCCTCACCCCCCCACCTCCCATCCTTCTTCCACCCGTCGACCTTACTTTCCTGTTTTTCCTTCCGTTCCAGCATCCCCCTCTCCCTCTCTTTACTTTTTTCTCCCCCTCCCCTCTCTATCAGAAAAATTATATAGTGAAGAACTGAAACAGCCAAATATGTCTATGGAGAACACAACCAACATTTCAGACTTAACTTCATGAAAATCCCTCGGGTTGGGGGAATGGAAGGAGGGTTAGATACTGATATTTTTTAAAGTGTGGCAACGGTGCCAACCTCGACAGGCCTATATGACATTGCCATACCCCACATAATTATGTGAGAAAGTTGGGTGAGGCCAGCCCCAAGAGTCTGTCCTCGAAACTCGAACAGAACACAAACAGGCGGGTGTTTCTTCTATCTTTCTCTTCCCTCATGTATATGCTTCCCCTCAATCTCCCTACCCATCACTTTGACACGACGACAGAGCGATGCAGATTTAAATATTTCCATACACCTAAATTGCGTCTTCAATAACTACAATGGCAAATTAAAAGAGTCAACATTACAATGAACTTTCTCAAAAGATGCATTACCCAAATGTCCCGATATAATTTCTCTGGAAGAAAGATTCGAGCATTAATGCAAATAATAATGTACACTTCCTCTATCACTAAAATCTTTGAGCTATTTAAGCTTTTTTAGCTGGCCAGGCTTTCAACTACTGCATCACGCAACATTCTAGACCTAATCATAGGAGCCACAACTAAATTTGCATTAAATTCATATTTTTGGGGAGGCGCTGCATTCTCATTCACGTACAGTGGCATTATTCTCATTCAGGTCTAATGGCATCATTCTCATCATGCACAAGGTGTCTTCATGACCTGTGAGGGCAGCAGCCAGCCTCCGTGACACAGGTCACACTCAACAGAGGCATCGCCTACACTACCACTCCACTGTACTTCAACAACAGAAGGATCATGGAGTTATACTCACATGGGGCCGCTTCCACTCGAAGGGCTTAGGCGGGGAGCGGGAGAAGAAGATGGAGGAGTCCGCAGCAGCAAATTCAGGGTCCTCAAACAGAGTACCCTCATCTTGACATTGCTGGCGGAGGCTGTAGAAGTCTTGTACTTGGCCCCTGGGGCGCAGACCTGATCCGCGCTCACCGAACTGCAGAAAGACAAAGGAGATGCAATCACACTGAAGACGAAAGCACTACTTAAATCTAGCAATTGTTATGAGGGAATGATAGAAACTCACTGGTGTGGTGATTCAATTACACAATCAAACTTAAGAAAAGCAGAAATGATTGTATGAAGTACAACGTGTGTGTGTGTGTGTACCAACCTATTTGTGCTTGCAGAATCGAGCATTGACTCTTGAATGCCGCCTTTCTAGCCACCGGTTGTTTATTGCAATGACTTTTCCCATTTCCCAGGATACTCTTATCGGATAAGACGGGTAAGTTGTTTAGTGTTAGCATAAGTAAAACTCTGTTTAGTGTTTTCAGGTTACAGTTGTGTGTGTAAACTAAAGTCTTTAAAAATGTAATAAGTTATTACGAAACGCGTTCAAGCGTCGAGTCAGACTAGAAATAAAAATGAATTTTGGAGAATTGATTTTTCAATTACCATCGACAGTAAAAAGAAACATAAGAAAGAGAAAATTCATGTTAGAATTATTAATCTTACTTTTTCGGTCATATTTAATAACATATATATATTATATATATATATATATATATATATATATATATATATATATATATATATATATATATATATATATATATATATATATATATATATATATATATATATAACTTTATTTATATATGAAGAGTTCTTACAATCTTGTAAAGCAACTAGCACACGTAGCATTTCGGGCAAGTCCTTAGTCCAAACTTTCCCCGGAATACGACCCGCCAAATCGTTTAACAACCAGGTACCCATTCACTGCTGCTGAGTGAACAGAGGCTACAGTTAAGGACTGGCACCCAGTCAATCACACCAGGCTAGGATACGAACTCAGGCCAATTCGCTCGCGAAGCACCAGGCGAGTGTTTTACCACTGGGCCATGGGGACACACATACATACATATACATTATTTTTCTATTTTATAAATAAATAAAGCCAGGAAGCCAGGATAGAGTGTCACACATTCGTACCGTAAGTCTCAAGCGCATATACCGACCTTAAAAAGCAGCAGTAGCAGCAGCAGCGACAGCGTTATGACCAGTCATGAATTATATAATACCTTGAATGTCTCTGTAAAATCCTCGGTACTGAACACGGAACTCATCCGGTGTCTCTTCCTCCCATAGATCTTGACCTGATCGGAAGGCCTGTCGGTCGGTGCCGGGGTGGGTGAGGCATCGCCATTAGCTCCGGATGGGAGAGGAAACGTCCACGTGTTCACGAACTCATGTTGTGGGTCACAGGTCGTTCGTGTGTTCCCAACCCGTGGCCCATCAGTGATTGATCGTGTGCTGGAGTACGTTGGCACATCAGCAGTGGTCGTTCGTGTGCTGGAGAACCTTGGCACATCAGCATTGATCGTTCGTGTGCTGGAGAACCTTGGCACATCAGCAGTGATCGTTCGTGTGCTGAAGAACTTTGGCCCATCATCAGTTATCGTTCGTGTGCTGGAGACGGTTCGTGTGTTGATGGTTGGTCTCACTTTCGGGTTAAAAACGCGCTTGTTGGAGGTGATGGTGAACTGTATGCTGGTTCCCATTTTCTTCTACTCTCAGACTTCCACTACTTGTCACTACTACCTGCCACAATATATTTTTAAATAACAAAACCTGGCGTGATACACCCAAAATACAGTGTATGTGAAACCTATGTACATGTCGAGTTACACAACGGTGGCTCTGACCAGTAATTGGATGGGTGACCACTGGAACAGAGATTAGCTAAAGGAGAGGAAACACCCGGACAAGCCCTAGACAGGTTTCCCAAACCGACCAGGGATACCACACCAGTACTCCACTATAGTGTGTATAGCTGTATGGATGGTACAGTGGGTGGAGGGAGGGAAGTGTAGGGAGGTTTGGGTGGGTAGGTGCGCTCTGAGGCCAACCCGTTCTCTTAAAAATAACGTCGCTTTTGGCTCGTATGCGCGCTATGGCCAAAAGTGGACGTAATTTGAAATGAAATCGACTCACAAAAGTGACATACTGTTCCGTTTTCTGTTTGAGTCGTCCGGCCTACTCGGAAAGGTTAGGAGAGGAAACTTTCAATTAACGTTTTGAAACTTTATGAGAATTTCCTGCCCATCTAACTTACCAGAGGACCCTTAACTTACTGTTGTTAAAAAAAAATCCCAAATATATTTTCATCTTTTTTTCATTTTCAAATTATGTCCACTTTTGGCCATACGGGTAAACGGCCAAAAGCGACGTTATTTTTAAGAGGACAGGTTGGCCAGCCCTTCATGCACCCTGACGCTAGCTTCTAGTCAGTGGAGTACATATACACACTAGAAGGGACCAGGACACACTAGAAGGGACCAGGACACACTACAAGAAGAGGGCAGGACACACTACATAAAGGAGTAATCATTCCGTGAAAATTTAAATACCGGATTTACCCAAGGGTCACTAACCCTAGTGGCCTCAACGAGTACAGGAAGCTGGCAATTTTCCCCGGCAGTTACGTGGCTCTGAACGTAACTTAGCATCAGTTACAAGTCACTGAACGTAACTTAGCATCAGTTACAAGTCACTGAACGTAACTTAGCATCAGTTACAAGTCACATTCAAAAGGTGACACCCCTAGGGTCAACACTTGCAGCAGAGGAGCTCCAGCATATTTCAACAATCCTAAGTATTGTAGTACAGGTTGATGGTAGTGAGTGGTGTCCCAGAGAACATAAAGGTATAGTGCTCTTGAAAAATAGGTGAGATAACAGGAAAGTGCTAAGGGAAGTGAAAAATCGGATGAGAAAAAGTTGCCCTAGTGTTTACAGTGCAGAGAAGAACATTCAAGATGGCCACTGGCAAGGGGAAAAACAAAACAGAGCTTGATTTTGAGGGATTCAATGAAGAAAGCATTGATATTAGCAGTCTACATAACAAGTTGGTAAATTTAGATACTATAGTGAACTCTCATGTAGAAATAATTAGTAAATTGAAAGAAAGTAATGACCATTTGAATAGCAAAGTTTTATGTCTTGAGGGTTTAGTGAAAGACTTGCGCAAGGATAAGAATCAATTGGAAACAAATTGCAAAGCCATGGAAGAAGAAAATAAACTCTTAAAAATAGCTTTGGAAGAAGTTAAAGTAAATTTAAACATAAATGACTACAATAGGTTAGGCAAGGAAATTCAACAGGAGAAACAGCTTTTGTCAGCACAGATGGAGGAAGTTACACAGGGAATAGAACAGTGCAAGAAAGATATGCAACTCACTTATGCACAAGTGGCCAAGGAGAAGGAAAAAATAGAAGAAGCAGTAAAGGAAGTCAAACACTGCAGCAACCAAGATAAAACAAACATTAGGCTAGAAGTGAGGAAAGAATTGGCATCTAACCCGAAGTTGGTGCAAAACACAGTTGATCGGAGTAAGTCCCTGATCATTTTTGGCTGCAAAGAAAAGGCGATAACATCTAGGTCAGAAAGAGCTGTAGAAGAAGCTAAAGTAGTAGATAAAATTGTTGGCCTCGTGGAAGGTCTTACAAACAGAGAGAATGTGTGCGACTACAGGAGAATAGGCAGGTACGTAAAAGGGAAAGATCGACCTTTGAGGATCACCCTAAACGGTGCCAAACAGATGGAAGAAGTACTAAGGAATGCTAGAAAATTGCAAAGGGATGAGGATGGGAAAGGGTGGTCGTTAAGACGAGATCTTTCAAAAGAAGATAGAGAGAAGCTGAAACTGAACCTCGCCGAGGCAAAACATTTAAATGAGAGCAGGAATGAAGAAGAAATAAATTCTTTTTTCTACAAAGTGATAGGGGTAGGCAAACCAGTAAAGTGGTACATAAAGGCAAACCAACAAAATCAATAGAGAGAGGGGGAGTGAAGAATAAGGAGAGGGGGAGTGAAGAATAAGGAGAGGGGGAACAAGTTCCTGAAGATTGCATACACCAACATAGATGGAGTGAGATCGAAGATACTGGAGTTAAGTGATGTAATACAGCTGCAGACACCAGACATTGTTGCACTCACGGAGACAAAACTTGAAGATGTAATTTTAAATGAGGTCATATTCCCAAGGGGCTACTCAATTTGGAGACGGGACAGAAAAATTAGGAAAGGCGGTGGCGTTGCTGTGCTGGTAAAAGAACACCTAAAGGTGAAGGAAATAATGACTGCCAATCCACAAGAAGTTGACATAATAGCACTAGAGATCTGCTATGAGGATGATAAACTAATGATGATAAATGCATATAGTCCACCGCCAAGCAGCACATGGTCAAAGGAGGAGCTAGATAGTAAACGTGAAGGTCTTATAACAATAATGAGAGAGATTATAGCGAGAGCGGATAACGATAGATCACGACTGTTGATAGTCGGTGACTTCAACTTGAAATCCATAGACTGGGAAGCATATGAAGCTAAAACAGAAGATTTTTGGACCTGTAAATTTGTAGACCTCATCCTGGAAACATTCTTGTATCAACATGTTAAACAAGCTACGAGGATGAGGGAAGGAGACGTTCCCTCCATGCTAGATTTGATATTTACCAGGAAGGAAGAAGAGATATTTGACATTCAGTACCTTCCTCCCTTGGGTAAAAGTGACCATGTCTTTTTGGGAATAAAGTATGCAATGCGTTATAAGCTGGAAGAAAATAAGGAGGTTGAAGCAGTTGAAAAACCAGACTTCAGGAGAGGACATTATGGTGACCTTAGAAATTTTTTTAGTGAGTATAATTGGACAGACTTGATGCTAGGCAAGGAAGTGAATGAGATGTATGGCAAGTTTTGTGAAATATATGATAAAGGCACAAAAAAATTTATACCAAAACAGAGATGCAGAACTAGGAAACAGGATTGGTTCAATAGAAATTGCGAGAGGGCTAGAGACCGAAAGACACAAAAATGGAATCAATACAGGAAGAGGCCGAACCCCCAAACATACCAGCGATACAAAGATGCGAGAAACAACTACACGGCAGTGAGGAGAGAGGCAGAAAGAAATTTTGAAAAAGGGATTGCGGA